CTCTCAGGCTTTTATCCTGCAAAATTTCCATCGAATAAACGTAGTCGTCGTCGCGCCATGTGAAAACCCCAAAAATGAAACGTCTAAAAAGCCCACTTTTACTCTAATGCGAGAACATGCCATCTCAATTCTATCAGGGACATTTCCAAGTGCAGTGATGTGTAACCTAATCTCAGTGTTATATCACTCTGACAGCCTGACAGTGTGTTAGCGACGTTCACAGTCCTCTAACGTTGATAATGTTACAGAATAATCGATGTTGTTTCTGGTACACGACTTGCTTGCTTTAGAAATCCCTTTAGTGCTCAGCAGTTTCATCTCAATACTGATCGCTCACATGCAATTAACCGGCATGCATCATCTGCAATTCCAGGCAATAATAAAAAACGGTTTGCATTTTGTCGCTTGGCAACAAATGCATCTTCAGACAGAGGATCTTTTTTTTACAAGCGCTCGCTGCAAAAGTGGCTTCACAAGTGCTCCCTTTGGATGCCATCGAAAAGCTTTTATCTCAGCCTCAGGAGCTCCATATTCTGCGGTGAATCAGCTTTTTGGGAAGAAACACACTCAAATATCAGAGTGTTTTTTACAAAAAGTCAAAGAAACGTTCAAGGTGAATCAATCCTGTGACTACAGATACTGCTTTTCACTCAGTCTGAGTGTTAAATCGTTGCAAAACTGTAAAAAATGTACAAAACAAGATGCTACAGAGAGTGACACAGAAAAAATAAAAGCATAAAGCCTTGATAGACGTCTGGTTCAACAACTGCATTTTTTAAACCTGTAATAGTCTATATATAAAAAGCAGGAAACAATGTCTTAACTTCTTTTATATCATATTGAGTCAATATTTTGGGGGCTTTGAATGACAAAATAGGATTTGTAAAGACATTTTCTTTGATCTTGAGACACTGGGATCAACTTTTTAAACTATTTTCTAATATTCTATAGACTAAACAACCAATAATGACAATAATCATAGGTGAAGCCCTAGATCTAACACAACTAACGGGAAGAGCGTGACTGATTCTGACAATTCTTGCAAGTCGGCAAAATTGTACTTCCTGTGAGAGGTGAGTGCAATAATCCAATTAATCAATAGTTTTACAATGATGACTTCAAACAAAAAAGCAAAGAGAGGTGAAAAGGGAGGGGGATGTGTGCAGTCAGCATTTAAGAAGAGGGGGTGTACACTCTCACTCCACTTTTCTCCCCCCTCTCTGACGGGAGGACCCCGGGGAATGCTGTGTTCACTCCCTTCAGACAGAGAGAACATTAAGGTGCACCTGCCCCTCTCAGCACTTTCAACCCAAAGTTATTATGATGACCCAAGTTCAAACAATGTCTCTTTGGATAGAGGAGCACCATTAACCCGGGGCTATCCATCATCTGCCTCCCTGTTCAATGGGCTGTAATACACTGTTAATGTTACGCACAATGCACACAAGCCATTAATGGAGCTCAGCAGGTACTGTAAGGGCAGCGTGAAAAGTAGTATTTGTTAGCTCATTAGCAAATGTCTAATGGTTTGTAATACTAGAACCAACATCCAAAAGTGCAAAGAAAGATACAAAAGGAAGTGAAATGTGACTGTTATTGTCTCCTCATGTAAACAATACAGGAGCTGTGATCTAAAAGTGAAGCAGCAGCCAGTCAACAGTGGCTCAGTGCGAGCCGTAAATCTGCAGGTAAAGCGGTTAACCCTGGTGCACTCTGGGGATTGTGGGCAGTATGGACGGGCCGGGGTTAAATGATTAGCAGCCGGCACACACACAGGAGCACGTTTCAAAAGTCCTTCAAAATAAAAGCATTAAATAGGAATGTAATTTAACTTTTGACACACACAACAAATGAAGCCATGCGTGGGATATCGGTTTTTATCAATATCTATAACTGTTATCGTTTACAGTTAGAATATAATAATATGAAACACAGATTGACATTTGTTTGTTAAATTGTGTTTAAATTAGTATGAAAAACAGTAAATAGGGTCCTTAAAGCAGCATTTTTATTTAAATTCAACTTAATTGATTGTGGTAAGTGATGAAATACTTGTGCTGTCTGTGAGATCACATTTGAAAGACATTTATCTGGCGACAACTCTATAAGAAGCTGTTCAAACTTCAGCTTACATTGTCAGGCAGTCTGCTAATGAATTATTGACAAGTGGACAAAGCCAAGGAGTTCATGTGAGCCGCTGCCCTCTGCGTCACCCGGCCATACTGAACTGCACCTGTCCACAGTAACCGTTACACTACAGAGAAGACAATACCACCACCCGCCATTATTCACTTCACTGTTAACCGTTATTCTTGCCTCATATGCACGGATCAGTTGTAAGTGCAATGGTGGATATTAAGCAGCAGGAGCTAAGTGAATGGCTTGGATGTGAGGGTATAGCTGTAAAATGGATTAAGTGTGTGAGGGTATAGTGAACACTAGTAACCCTTTAATCCACTGTGTGAAGGCAGGAAGCCAGACAGAGAGAGGAGAGGCATTTCCTGTCCAGGAATCCAGATTTGTCAGCGGCAGAGGAATGCTGCCCGGCTGCTTAAAACTCACTGAAACAAGATCTCTATTTCCTTTTCAATTTAAGTATCACAATTTGATATGGATTAAATCAATGGTTCAGATTGAAATCAAAGAAATCTTCGATGTCACTTCTTTTGTTAGAATATGCTATTGTATGTATTAATCGAGTCAACATTTTGCAAACTGTTTTAAAATATTTTTTAAAAAAGGAACGAAAAAGTTATTTCATACATTTGTAGGTGTCATATATCGTTGATCTACGTTTATCAATGCTCCTCTGCGCTTTAAGTATTGAACTGAGCACCGCAGAGAGTCAATTTATAACGCATTTACAATACACATTACTTTTAGACTTTCCCAGAGAAGAGAACAAAGGAGAAAAGGCGATCAGCAGAGTGAGTACAGTACGAGTACACTAGCTCTCGTAACTCGTACTTGTCACTGTGATTTCATTTTGTTCTCATTCTTCAGGACAGGAGCGACAGCCACAACCATTACAACTCTACACGTTGCACTTAAAAAGCTTACATAACATCCTTTCTTCTTACTTCATCATCATTGCTGCCCGTGGGGAGACCGAAAAACCCTGAGAGTATAACTGGTGTCCTCAGCTCAACTTTATCAGACTAGTGCATTGTTATAAACTCAGGAATTGCATTCAGCCTAGTTTCCGTTGATTGCTGAAACACTGAATGCATTTTTTGTAAATTTGACTTGACTCTAATTTCATTTTGTATGATTACACGGCTATTCAGTGAAGGGAAAAAGTATTAAATATGTAATGGATCATCTGCATCACATGATTGATGTTTGAGAAGGTCAAAATGAGCTAATTCTATTAATCTTTAGAATCTCGAAAGTAGTAAACAGACCGGCTGTTAATAATAGTAAATCAAGCAAGTTTCCTGCAGGTATATTAAGACATCACTTTAATTATAATGCTGAAAAGATCTTTGAAATTGTCTAAATAGTACAGCTATTGTCTACTGCATAAAATCTCGCTGCATGTCACAGTCCTTTTATCTTCCACCCGTTTGTTTACTGATAAAAAGACAAATCTCGACATGCTTACTTTATAACGCTCTCATTCTTATGAAACAGATAGGCTATTCAAATGAAGACTGAACTTCCAGTTAGCCTAATTTACAGAGTGGTCAGAGGGGTTAATACTCCATCATAGCGCTGACTTGCAGTATTGACAGCCAGATAAATGTTCCTTATCCTCATCTTAAGCAGCCTCTCTGCATCCGGGGTTTTTACAGCGGCAGTGCAATCAATTGAACCCTAACCCATTTGTCTAAAGCAGTTATCCAGATTAATTACAGCAGCAGACCTCATCAGCATCCCACATCCTTCCAGTCACAGACTTGTCTCTGCATGTTGCTCACTATACTATAAAGCTACATGTCACCCTCCACACAGCAGGGACTTTATCTAACGAGCCATTTTCAACAGTTGTGAGACTGTGTCTGAGCCTCAGCTGAGCGTGGAGCCGAGGTCTAACCCTGATGTGGATTATTGTCAAACGCATTACTGTGGAGCCCTAATGCAACTCACAGCCGGCTGCTCCACTGCTGGCCATCGATTTCAGTAGCAGGGAGAAAACAACTGGATTACATAATTCATGTGACTGACTGATCCATTTGTAGTCAACTGGGAGAATTCACAAAATAGACTGATATGCACACAAGTTTTGCAATTCAAGCCATTTTAAATGATGCAAAACAAGTTCAAACTATGCAAAACAAGCTGCCACTGGATTTGCTCTAAAAGTGCAGTGATTTAAGCCCCTTTTTTTCTGTCGCTGTCTGTCTGCAGCTCTTGACATGTTCCGTCAGGTCTGCTCTGCAGAGTCCTGCATTACAACCAGTGATAATGATAGGTGACTCCACCTTTTACACTGCTATGCTCATGTTATGATCCAGGTGTGTTTGAACATGGTGTGCTGCAACACTTGAATTACTATCTAATAAACAAATATTACTTGAGAATTGTATGCCAAATCGCAATCAAAAATATAACGTTTTAGCACATTTATCAGTAAAACTATACTACACCAGGTTGTATTTTAATATTACAGAATTATGTTGTTTTAAACTATGACATTTAAAAATAAATCCTCAATAAATTATATTTGGACGGGATTTTGAGTCATATAAGGGACTTGCACTCTAAATTCAAACTGTCATTGTTTTTACATTTCAGGACAAAACAATAACTTTCTATTAAAAAAATAACAGGATTCAGGGTGTTTTCACGCTTCAGACAGTTCCCCGAGCCTCTTTCCACTCCCTTTCGCGAACTTAATCCGGATGAGTATAGCTGCTTCGGCGGAATTTGAAACCAATAGTGATAAAAAGCTTACACGTTTTCTGTTTATCTCGGTGACATTGCAAAGGGCTTTAGTCTGCACAGAAGAGGCTTGGATAAGCAACATTTAGGAGTGCGTAAACGTAGTAAAAACTCACATATCTGCTGATGAGGGTCCGCAGAGTGCTGAAATCCATCCCCATCCTGTTCCTCTGCTTCTTCCTCGTTTACAAAAGGTGACTTTACTGTAGACGCTAACTTCTTTTTAATTCTCCGGTTTTGTCCATGACTTTTCCTCCCTTCTCTTCTTCCTGAATAATAGAAGAAAAAAAAGGCTCGGTCCCGACAAAGCTGCTCCAAACAAATGCAAACCTGAACTCACCTATAGGGACTTAACAGGCTTTACTAGTAACAGGAGGAGTGTGTGTGTTGTCAAAGTCAGTTCATGCAGAAACACACAGGTGGGCTGCTCTTCCTCTCTTCCTCTCTCCCCCTCTGTGTGAGTACTAGTAAGCTTCTTGTCTCGGACCAAAGGAGCTTTTCTCTCATCTACGTCACGAGCAGCCAGGTGGTGGCTGAGCGTGGAGGTGAGCGCATGCGCACTCTAGTGTTTTCGGTGCGTAATTGATTGGAGGTTTCAGTTAATTAGGCTACTGATTTGTTTGTTTGGAGGGCGTAATGTTACACCAAAGACAAAATTAGGACTAACTTTAGTTAATTAAATTGAGGGAAATTCAATGAATGATATTGCAAATCATTTACATGGTTGGTTGGTTGTGTGTGTGTGTGTATTTTATGGGGTGTTATCGAGATGCGGACACCCCAGTGGTGCTGTCCATCCAGACGGTGCTGAAATGATAAAAAATAACATCTAATGCACTTTTTTAAACTATCATCTTGTACAAAAAAGATTAAAAAAGACGAGATAAACAGAACGAAACTATTGATAAACATAATGTATGAATACAATAAATTAAAACAACGGCTATAACATTACTTCAAATTAAGCCATATATATATCTTAATTATTTGTTTTAATACATTTGGCCTCTGAACTATGAACTTCAATTCTTCACCACAGAAAATTAGCAGAGTTTCTTATTTCCAGAGGTATTATATAAACTATAGTTGTGAAAAGAAAATATAAGTGATTTTTAAGTAATCAGTTTAAGTGTTTTTAGCTGAGGTCAGAAGGGTCAGAACTACAAATGTAGTTTATTTGTTTGTTTTCATTCATTGGTCCATCCTCTGTTTCCTGGAGACGCTTTTCGGCGGGTTCTGTTGAAACACCAGCGTCACAGTCACCACAATAACAAGCACCATATCCGGTTGTGACCTTCAAAATAAAAGCCCTAAAAGTCAAACTCAAGACTACACATCTTTGAATACATTTTCAGATGTAATAATAAGACTGTCTTCATTTCTTTCTTATATATGTTGTCTTATTAATTTCAAAATGCCAGTGGCTATTTTTCCATTAATAATTATAGACAATAATCACTGTTTTTCTTTACATTACATTACATGTCACTTGTTAGACGCTTTTATCCAAAGCGACTTTTCCACTGAGCCACAGTCGCCCGTTACTGTGGTTACTTTATTAAAAAGCCAGCTCCTGTGCGGTTTGATTTCTATAATAGAGAAATAAACATTTGTATTTTCCTTAAGTAGACATTTTACAGTAAGAAGAGTTGAACAATTGGCAAGAAATCAGATTAACAACATTGATGTTATTCAATAATTTAGCTGTAAATGCTTGACTCACACACCTGGTACTGCACTATACATGATTATATATTACTACTTAAGTATAAAGTAATTCCAGTTTCACTTGATAAGGTTCATTCATACTACCTGAAAGTCATGCAACAGGTGTTCCATGCTCTTATTTTGAAGGAAACGTTGCCCAATTGTCGCTCCTATTCTTCCTGCGCCATGCTGGCTTCACTCCACTTGTCAAAATGGCGTTGTTCGTAGTAGCAGACTTGAGTTAGTTCTTATTATTCAGTTATTGGGAAACATACGCAGCGTTAGACCCGACAGTATGGCGACCCTGGATCAGAAATCACCCAATGTGCTTCTCCAGAGCCTCTGCTGCAGAATCACGGGGAAAAGCGAAGGTAGATCAGCCACCGTAGCATGCAGGAGCTGTCACGCGAAACCTCATTGACAAAAATAGGCACTTTGCTAATAATCGTTATATTACTGATCAGACATATTTTCCACATAATGTAAAGTGGTTTGCTGAATCTGTACCCCCTACTGGGTAATTCGGCGTGTTAATTTCACCCCAGTCTGTTCAGATTTGTATAATAATCTCAACTTTTAACACTACTGGAGCCTGCTGGAGCTTCTGTGTTTGGGACGGAAAGTGGTAGAAAAAGAATGAAATCTACCTGAAGTTGAAGCTGTCTGGTCTTTTGCACATATGCCGAATTGAAGAGAGCATGATAACCACGTATTAAACGGAATTTAGTGGAAAAAGACACTCTAAAATATGAGATCGACAAAAAAATAGAGTTGCTGTGAGTTTGGTTTTACTTGAGCTGTGGCGCGGTAACGTTAGCTGTCATTCAATGGGCTCGGCCAGATACTGCACATCACACTTAACAGCTTTATGGCACCTCCAGCTGTAAATATAACACTGCAAGCTTTGGTTGGATAAAGCAATTAGTATTTTAATTAATCTATCTATGAGTTTGCTAATCTGTTAGCTCTCATGCTGACCAACACACTGTTACTTGCAAACACTGCTAGCTGCAGGCCGCTGCTGGATGCAGAGATGCATGATGGATCAGAGATAACGGAAAAATAAATCATTATGATGCTTGTTTTTCATTTAACTCAATTGCAGATTTTACTGCATGATCAAATGCAGCAAAGCTTTGCAGCCTGGCAATGCTTTTATTTTATATTTATCCAGAGATTATTAGTGCCCCATTATTCACAATCTTTTTCAATGCCATAACACATTTCTATCAGGTTCCTACTAGTATCTAGCTTTTAAAATCTTATACTGTTTATTCACAACTTTTTAAAGGAACATTTTCAATTAGCCTTAATTGATATGTGAACTGACAGGAGCAAATATAAAGAAAAAAACTCCTTGTCAAAACAAGTGATGGACTTAAGAGTGCTGCCATGACTTTTACTCATTACCTGTTTTTTATTTCTCCAGCTGAAGTTGCCCACCAGTTCCAGTATGCAGTGCGAGTCATTGGCAGTAACTACGCCCCCACTATTGAACGGGATGAGTTCCTGGTGTCAGAGAAGATCAAGAAAGAATGTAAGTTTGGACAAATGTTATCCCTTAATGATCACACATTCATATTATCCTTTACTTTACGATTGTAGCTCGTTACAATACTTTACCTACATTATATTATCCAATTTGTTCTCATCCACAAGCAAAACTATCCCATCTCTGTTGCTGTCCGGTAGTTTTTGATAAGAGAGACCTTTTGCCTTTAATGCTGGAGCCATCCCAGAAAAAGTCAAAAGCTTTATTGCCCCATAACAGCAAATCCAAGTAGTTTTATAGTTCCCAAGGTTGCACTATTAGTGGGAATACATCGATCCATGCTTTGACGCAGAAAATAGCGCAGCACTTACTGTACAAAGTGTTTATTTGGTGGACTTATGGGAACTTTGTTAAAAGTGTTTGTTAGGGTAATGGAGTTGCTATACAATGTGTCTTGTCAAAACAAGAATAGCTGTGCAGCCTGCAACCTCATGTTCCCCAGCAAGTCATTTCCTTACTATAGAGATAGGCTGTGTGTGTAACGTTTTTCCTTTTTAAATAATGATGCTGTTGCAGTGCTGAAGCAGAGGAGAGAAGCTGACGCTGCTCTGTTCTCAGAGCTGCATAGAAAACTTCAGACGCAGGTGTGTACTACTGCAGGAAACCCTCTGAACTGTAACAGGACATCGCTCACATACGTCATATTATTATCATTAATAATAGATTGTAATGAGGTTTTGTTTCTGTTTCTGTTGACAGAGTGTTTTGAAGCATCGCTGGTCTGTTCTCTACTTGCTGCTCAGCCTCTCTGAAGACCCCCGCAAACCGTCCGGCAGGGTGAGACGCACACACACACACTTCCTTCCTTATTAAAACCACAAAATAAGTGTGTGATACTGTCTTGATGCCCTTACCTCCTCCTCACCTCATGTCCCTGTCCTTCCCAGGTTGGAAACTATGGAGCACTCTTCGCCCAGGCGCTCCCCAGAGACGCCCACTCCACCCCGTTTTACTGCACCCGGCCTCAGAGCCTGGCCCTGGGCTACGGAGAGAGGAGCGCCGGGCTGTCGGCCAGCGTGGGGACCAGCGGCATCTCCAGTCTGGGAGTGTACACACTGAACGGGCCCACAGCCACGCCACAGTCACTGCTGTCTGGGTGAGCATCTTCACATGAGTTTCTGCAAAGACAAACCTGTTGAAGACACAAGCTAACGTTATCCCTGGATTCTTTGCAGTTATTAATACTCAGATTAAGCATTAATAGAGATGACAACCTTCTTAACATCTTCATAACTGAGTTGTTAGCTGTGTTCACCTGAAAGGCTCTGGGGAAAGAAGAGTGTTATTTATCCATCGGATGCTGTAGAAACACTCTGAAAGCATCAATTAGCACCATCAAATAAACGTGCCTGTTATAAATCTGTTTAATGAGACATCAGAAGGCCATTTAGGTCCATGTATCCGTATTAATAATGCAGGAGTCCTTCTGTTACAAATGACCATTGACCTTTTTTAGACATGAAAGCAGAGATCCTCACTCTAAACATAAAAAAGGTCCCAAGGCATTGAATTTTTATTTTACACCCTGCTTAAAAATACACAGTAATTGTGCTTTAATTATACAAATAATTGCTTTCTCCTTGTTTGAGTTTATTTGCTGTTCTGAGTGCATCGTCCAGCAAAAGACCTCTTAATGCAGACTATGGTGATTGTAGTGTTGTGTACTAAAAACCTGTTTCAGCTAGATCTATTGATGTTTAATGGGAGCAGCATATGAAGCTCAACTCAGAACACAATGTCATACAGATGTTTTTAAAGTGTGCTCAGTAAATGGAAGTGAAAAATATTATTGATATTAGTTATCAAAGGACACAGTAGTTCTGTGGAATTTAACAGTTTTCTTCCACTTACCCAGAATTAGAAACAAATACATGCCTTAAGAAAGACATTCCTATTTATTTGGTTAAGTCCGAATGTGAAACAGCAATATAAGGCTGTGTGCAATTGGATCAAACAACATAATAATGATCCCACGGACAACCACGGAACTAAACTCAGCAAATGGGGGCACCTTTTTACCAATATTTGTCTGTGGGGAGGCGTGTGGCGCAGTGGATAGAGCCTTGGTGTTGGGATCAGGGGGTCACAGGTTCAAACCCCACTGCAGTCAGCATGTCGTTGTGTCCCTGGGCAAGACACTTCACCCCAAATTGCTCCTGTGGGGATTGTCCACAGTACTGAATGTATGTACTGTAAGTCGCTTTGGATAAAAG